AAATCCTAAACCCTGTGTCTCACCCTCTAATTAGCTAATCTTTTCGCCATTCACCCCGGTGAAGTCCTCTTATCTTCATACAGGTGTCGTCTCCCGTGTAGGGTCAAAGTCCAGCCACCAGACACTTCTGGCAACATTCCAGGACTCCCGGGCCCCCCAAGGATGGTCTCGGTGGCCCGGCATCTCAGGACTCAGATCCTGAGATCCCACAAGCCCATGTTTAAATACACATGCTTTTTCCTGTTCCAAAACTGCCATGTGAGATTTTGATTCTTTGAGGACACTCTTCATTTTGGGTAAGAAATACACGGTATAGAGAGACACACTTTCCTTAGTTTACTGTTTCTCATACAGGTGAAACTGCTAAGTAAGACAACCTCTTGGAACATTGTAATACCTTATCTACAATAATTTATAGGTGAGGATCTTGTTATATTCCATAGTGGTCACATTTTATGGGTGAATACTGACAGACTTACTCTAAAACATATATAGAGATTGAAGAAAAATTATATGGGCTTCAGCTGCCTTATAACAACATATTCGTATCTCTGCTTTATGGTTTCGGGTGAAAAACCCTAAAAACTACAAAATTCTAATCTATCTATACTTGCACAAAATCTTGGCTTTGTGGTTCATGACCCTTAGCAACAAAATTTCTCTCACCTTTTAATGGAATTAAATTATAAAGGTGAATTGGAAAACCAGCATTACTATGTTAGTTTCACTGCAAAAAACACTAAAGAATGAAACTTTTAATAAAGATGACTTAGTTGAAGCATTTTAATTTTCTACAGTTGGCATGATTTGATTTTGTCTTGATTTTCAAGCTTTTTTTCCAGTACTGCCTTATAGGCATCTACTTGTGATATCCAAGTGTACTCACTCACTTTCTGTAATTTATAATCTGTTATTGCTACCTCTGTCCTAACACAGAAGCCTGAAGAAATATATTTCCTATGAAACAAACAGAACAACACAGCAGTTTTAAAATTCATTCATTACCATTACATTTCTATCACCTCAGCATTATGAAAAAATATTTTGCTAAATTTTCATATGCACCAGCATCAGTGGTGTTCTTGCTGATTTTATTTTTAATTATTGGAAAGCTTTGTATTTCATTTGCCTGTAATTTGCTCTGAAAAACTTCAAAGTGTCTTCATGGGCCATCTTATAAACCTATTTGCTATTAATGAAATAGTGCTTAAAATCAAATGTTAACACTCCTTACAGTAGAATATAAAATCCTGCTAAGCATGTTTTTAGATTAAACTTCTATTTAACTCATCATAGGCATATGAGAAGGTGAATTTCTTGCCATATTGAAATTTACTGCAGTTAGAAAAAGTTCCTAATTGCTTTTTATCAATCTACTGGTAGAAGTAAATGTGTTCACAAATAGGCCATGATATTAATAAAAAATTTCATTAGTATAAAAAAATTATGTGGTCACTAGAGAAATTAAAATAAGGGTAGGCCTGTGAAAAAAGGCCTACCCTATTCCAATTTTCAAGTACAGTTTCTATACAAAAGTTCAAGATTTTCATCATATAGTGCTGTCTGAAATCAAGAAAACCTTCTTGATAAAAATAATATTGTACTTGAGAAGTTGCTGTGGTTTCATGGTAACTTTTTTTTGTCTGTTCCACTATGCTACCACTTCCCTGTTGGAGTCATCCCTCCACAACTAAGTTTGTCTTTTATATAGTGTGCTATATACCATGATGGAATTTATCCATTGTTGGGAATATGAATTACAGATCTTGACCTAACAGGTAGGTTTATTTAGATATCTAAAATACAATATATTAGCACTGTTAACATAATACTGTTCTGAAATGTGATTCAATTTTCAATTTCTTAATTGAGAAACTGGCTTATATGCTTTGATTTCTATCGATTTTTAAACAGGAAGAAAGCAATTATTGCGAAAAACCAAACCCAAACAAATGTTCAATCAAGATATAACTTCTATCAAAAAATCTTCAGTGAGAAAACTTCAGTTTACTGAAGGTTTGTACATTATATGTTAAATATCATTGAGTTTGCATTATGTAGTTTGCTTGCATATTATTGCACTTGACTTCTTATTGAATATCAAACATTTCATTATCAGATGGGGGTCTAAGGTATTAAATTATTTTCTGAACATTTACCACAATACTCACACTATTCTTGTTCAGTACAAATAGTTTTGCAAGTGATTGTTCCTATTCAGCAGAAATACAGCAGATACAAACAGCACAAATGTGTGTGTTTAAAGAGGTAAATAATTGAGAAAATTCTCTGGGCAACTCATCCCAGTGTCTCAACACTCTTATTGTAAAAAAATTCTTTCTTGTATCTAACATAAATCTACCTGCTTTCAGTTTAAAACCATTGCCCTTTGTTCTGTCACTGCAAGCCTTGGCACAGAGTCTCTCTCCATCTTCCTCATAAACTGCCCTTATATACTGGTGTGCCTGGGGTCTTCTGCTCCCCAGGCAGAGACAGGTTGGGACAGGTCTCTTAGGTTCAGCCTTTTTTCTTTTTTCATAGGAGAGGTGTTCCAGATCTCTAATAATTTTTGTGGCCCTTCTCGCAATCCAGGAAGGGTCTTAGATGAGCAGCAATCCTGCTCCCTTGACAGAAAGGACACCATCCATGGACTAACCTCCATAAAGATGCTTCACAACTCCACCTGAGTACATAACACTGTGTCACAGATGGCCACAACACAGAGTATCACTAAGCAATTTGAGAAGGCTTTAAGCATTTGCCCATGCACAGTAACATCATACCTCACCAGAAGGCCTCAGGTATCTGCCCATACAGAAAACTATCAAATCACTTCAGAAGGCTGCAAGCATCTGCCCTTCTTGTTCTTCAGCCCAGCCTTTATACCCCTGATGCTGATGCACTGCACTGTGTGCCCTCTGTTCCCTTTGGTGGTTGGTCAGTGCCCCTGGGCACTCCATGGCTCACTGCTGTCAGTGCTGCTCACCTGCTGCTCACAGCTGTGCCCACTGGGGATGAGGCTCAGCCTCAATTACCACAAACTGTGTGCCTACAACACAGCACTATGAGCCACTCAGCAGTCACATAGGTGAGGAAACCAGCCCTTGTGCTCTACCCCTCAGCTTCTGTCATCACAAAGCTCCATACAGGCTACTTTTTATTCTCCTGTTTTCCTCTAAATTCAAGAATCATTTACCCTATTTGATCTGTTCATCTACTTTCCTCTGCACTGTATGTAATCCAATGAGATCACTTATTTGTATATTTAGGATTCTAATTAATAATGCATATATATGCTCTCTGGTGCTGAATGTATGTTGTCCTTTAATTATGTTTTTAAAACAGATGAGGGCCCATAAACCAAACCACACTGATAGAGAAGTAATATAAAAATGCACCTTATACTGATAAAAATATTACACGTACTTACTTGTATCTTAGTCCAATGGGCAGTGCAGTATTATTTCTGGATATATTTCCTTATGTGTATCATGATGAATAATGGCATAATCGTCCTGAGAAATTCTGTGAGTTTGTTTTAAACAATCTATTTTTCAAGTTTAAATGATGATTTTGGCCTTGTGCACGTTACTTTATACCAAAACTCAATAAAAAGATTCCTGTCTATGTAAATAATTAATTTTTGTCATTTTCAACTTTTAATAATGTATACCTCATCTTTAGTTGGAACTGTATGCTTGCTCACACACTCTAGAATTTTTTGGGTAAGTATCAGAAAGAACATAGACAAAAAAAAAAAAGTAAAAAAATTATAAATAAAATTAATCTATTCCACAAATAATTTCCTTTACTGTAAATGGGAAATTTGAATGTTGCATCTACTTTATTTGAAAGCGATGCCATAACAGAATCTGCAAGTTTGTTAGTAAACAAACTGTTAGTTTGTTAGTTTGTTTGTTAGTCTTTTTATTCATCTAACTATTGATTCAAATGAAATACACAATAAGATCATCTGCATTTATGCTCAGAAGAAAGTCAGCATTTCTCAATAATAAGAGATCAAAGAAGAATGTTGCTATTTTGGGAAATAAAGCAAAATAGCTGCTTCTGCTATTCAGAAAAGGAAACTGTAATTTGGTAAATGTCAAGAGGGAGAGCTTCTCAGAGTCAGAAGGCAATAAATAAGTTCAGAGTGGAAGGTTCAACTTACTTTCTACACCACTAGGTACAGGCTGATGGTATAGAGTTACCATAAAAAGTATTTAATGTTTTTTCAAGTATTTTGTGCTAAAAGGAGAGTGCAAATGTACCATAGTATACTTCAATTAGGCTAATCTTCACCAAGGGACTGTCTGCTGCATGTGTGAAAGACGCTTGTGGAAGTATCTGAGGGCTAGGTGCTACAATATGAAAACATATTAAGAGGACACCAAGTTTGAACAGTTGTTATCAAAGTGGCACTGCTAGCATTTGTAATGATGTCCTGCAGAAGCTCTGTTCACTTTCACTGACAAGCAGGCTGGCCAAATAAGTTGTCCCTCTGCTGGCACTTGTGCCATGTGGCAGTGATGTGACCGACCTGTCAGCAGGCAGCGCGCCATGCCGACAGATGGGCATGAGTGCAGCTAGCCAAGGATATTTTCATTCCATGTGCAGCAGATGTACACGCCTATTAAAAGTGTTGCTCCCTGCTGAGAGAATCAAAACAGCAGTTTGCCTTGAACTTCTTTTTCAGAGTTGGCAATATATGGCACCACTAACCCAGCTCAGAACTTGATTGACATGGAGTATCAGGAGATACTGTGAGGAGAGGGCAAGGAGTTCAAGGTAGACTCCTATACTGTTATTTAATTCTTCAGGAATTAAAATTTTTTTGATAGACCTTATGCCAATAACACTTGACACAGAGAAAACCATAGAGCTAAGAGCATGCCCTCTCTGGCTAACTTTATCAAATATACAATCTGTACCCAGAGAGACTCCAAAAGTTGCACTTGCAGCACAGCATGGAGAAAAATATTTCCCTTCCAGGCAAAAATTAATTGTGGTCATTACTTTAATGATCAAAGCCCACAAAGGGCAACAAAAGTAGGCTCTATTACTGTATAAGTAACGGAACATTTAATTTCCACTATTAACCGTATTTTTTAACTAGAGTAATATATCAATAGAAAGGGGATAATTGAAAATACAGGCTGTTTTTCTCAAAATTATTTTTACTTAACTGTAGGGACAATATACCCATTAGCAGCTTTTAAACAGTAGCCTTTTGGCACATCTAAATTTTTGCTGTCTGGAAAATAAAGCAACAAAGGTATACTGTTTCAGGTAATTTCAAATGCTCGTATTGCAGCAAAGCCTGCATTTTGATGGTCTGTATTTAAAAGACTTTTATTAGTGTTATTATGAAGTTGCTTTGAAAGAATTTGCTGAGAAGTGGGATGAAATGTCTTAATTTGATACTCTATGTCTCAATTTGATACTCTGTACCAATAAACCTCTGATTTTAAGCTGAAAGACATAGCCATACAGGAAGCAGGGCAGACTGAAAGTATCTTGCCATTTAGATACAGCCTTTACTGTTGCCACGACATATAATGCATTTTTTTCCTCTATTTAGAACTTGTGGAAAAAAAGAAAACTTCAATCCTTTCAAAGTGCTATATTACCCATCCTAGAAACAATCAATCAACAGAAATTTGCTTCTATCAGTGTTTTAGCTTCAGATCTTCGATCACTGCTGAATCAAAAATTTGTAACCTGACTCCAACCTAGTCCATGTTTGTGAATCAGCACATAAAACACACACTCTCCGTCACTGGGAAGTGCCTGCTCTCTAGGATACTGCCCTCCTCCTGTAAGTATGAATAAGTTCTGCAAGAACATTATCAACCTTTCTTGTCCCCAAGTTACCCAATTCCTACAATTCTATAAAAAGTAAGGGTCTCAGATTGATATAGTTGGTTATCTCCTTATTTCATCCAAGAGCTATGGCTTCTAGTGTTGATAATGGCTACTGTCCCCACACATGAAAGTGATTAGGCTTTGGAACATAATAATAGACTCACCTTTTCATTTAGCAGTGATCCTTAAATCCTACATTTCTAAAAGTTTTTCCTCTTCCTACTGACTAAATTCTGTTCTTGCATCTTGCCTGGGTATGGTCTGACAGAAAACTTCCTCCAAGTAACCTAAAAACCTAATCTACACAGCACAAAAATAGGAAAAGTCTTTCTGCTGCATCCTGCTTCTGATCATTTCTAGATATGATAGACTTTTGCGGTGCATAAAAACAGATGCATAGCTAATTTCAACTAAAATCCATGCCATCTCTATTATTTCTTCCCATTTGGAGGCTGGGCAGGCACAAAATTAAATGCTGTCCCATGCATCAATGATTTATGAAGCTCTAAATATAAATAATTGTTCAAGATCCAGTTCTGTGCATGTATTACTCCCACACCAGGTGTTATTTTCCTTGTTTGCTTGTGGAGGTTGTTTGTTTGCTTTTGTTTGTTTGTTTTTAGTTAAATTCTTCTATAATAGAAATTTTCAGGTTTTTTAGTTTTATTTTAGGGGATTATAATATGCAAAGTGTTCTTATATATATTAAACATTACTGTTGAAATTGTTGGCATCCAAGCTATGATTTTGGTTGTGAAAAATAAACCATGCTCTGAAAAGTTCAATTACTAACATTTGGGACATACCAAGATTTGGATGAAGAAACTATTTTGTTGGTTTTACTGAGATGTAAACTAATTAAAAGTCTGGTTGTGCAATAAGTCCAGAAGACAAAAGAAAGGAGCCTTGTGTTAATTCTTGTATTATACAGTTCTGAGATGTTTCTTTAATTTTCAGTCTGCTTTGCTAAGAGAGTAATCTAGGAGGTTGTGTTTATATATATATGGATGTATAGGCTTGAATTTATACCTTACCTTTAATTTCAGCCTTATGCACAGTTTCAGACAAATAGATCAAGTATCTGAAAAGACAGTGATTTTCTATATGTTTTGGGAGAATAAGTGCCTAACCAGAAAAAGGTGCTCAGTAATGTTCTCATGAGGATATGAAAGAAATGGGTAAATGAATCTGGTATCAAAAATGCAACACAGGAGCACCACTGAGACATGAAGCCCTTTGGAAAAGGGCTGTGTAAAGTGCCACTGTTCCCAGAGTAATAGTTTAACATTTTATGATTTTTCTTGCTTGAGATCAGGACTGCATGAAGAGCGTCAAGGTGTGAAGTCAAAACATAAAAACTAAATTGCGCTGAAGTCTGGGGGCACGCATGAACAAGAAGTTGCTTTACTTCAAAGTAGCTTAATCTTCTCACTTTCATATGTAGACAAGCCTTGTATCTACTCTCATTAAACAGTTGTGGAAATGTCTGTCACTGCCCTGAGTTGACATCTCTAAAGATACATTTAGAGAATATGCTGATGTGATGAGAAAATGTTTTAAATGGGGATGAAAAAGAAGTGACTCCAGCTTTAAAGTAACCAAGAGAAAAGCTACTTGAAACAAGCACTGAGTAATCCACATCTTAAAACTGACAATTAAGTGAAAAGCAAGACAGAATCTTAACACAATTACTTTAAAAAGTAGCAATAGGAAGGATTATGTATGTTGAGAATTCCATAAAATTAATAGGCAACATGAAATTTTCATGCTGGTGGTTAGAAAACTACTACTGCTTTCCAACAGTTGCATTTTGAAAAATAAAAGGCTTCAATCAAATTGCTAATTTCAGTGTGTTTATATTCAGTTAGTAGTTCCAAGTGCTATAAGTTTTTTTTGCAAGATTTATAAACAGATGCCATTTTTGTTATTGCCCTCGTTGTACTCAAAAAAATCTTTCATAGAAGTAAACATATCTAAATTATAACTTACATCCATTGGGAAAACTTGTTGCCAGAACAATAGATTTGTGATTAAATTTTTTTCAGAAATTTTCTAGGTTTCTTAAAATGTTCTGAGTGTTACTTGGGAATTGTAAAAGAACATGTTTTTATTTTACATGTGGTTTTTAATAGAAAATTTTCAAGTGTCAATTATTTTTTCACAACATGCATATTTTCCCTTAGGAAAGGGAGATGGAAAAAATACTCAGCAACCCAACCCCAAATTTCTTTCTTAATGGAAGTGTTACTAATAGGACTAAAATAGCAAATATCATTGTTCATTAATCTTTCATTGGCCTTTCCTTTTTTTTTTTTTTTTTTTTTGACTTTCTGAAGATACTTTGAACTTGTTTGATTGATTTGCGCACTTTGGATGTCACAGTTTTATTCTTCTATATCTCCATGTTTCCTTGGGGTAAAACTGCAATGTGAGGTGTGCACATAGAATTAGTTTTAGCTTTTAATAGCCAAACAGAAAATACTGGTTCATAGCAATAAATGTGTGTTCCTCCAGATGAAAAACATCATTAAAATATTCCTTCTCAGATACATTGGATACATGTAAATTATTTGACAGTTGGCCAAGCAAGTAAACTTGAGGAAAAAATTATGAGTGAAGAAAATGATAAATTAAAGGCTATAATTTAGTTTTGAAACTAATTTGAAGAATAGTTATTCTGGAAACTTTGTTTCATCTGTTTATTTTGTTGCTATTTATGTTACCAGTAATGATTCTGCTGAGATTTCTACCTCAGATATGATAGCAAAGATTTAATTGCTGAAGTTCACGGAATGGTCTTTTATTCTTGCACCGACTGAGAATATTTCAGCAACACACAGTTTGGGAAAAGAGGCCATACAACAAACAAATTGCTCCTTTTCCAACAGGGGAGGTGGCAGTTCAGATGGCTATAGCCTTCCAAAAATCTCAGAAAGAAACTTCCAGTAGCATGCTTTTATATGATCAAAAGACAAATTTGGTATTATCAGACAGTGATGCTGATGTTTTGGAGGGAACTCCAGGTCAAACCAGGGACTCCATTCACAACAGCAGACTGCATCTTTTTAATGTATTGCATATTTGAGATGGAATCGAACACAGCAGGCACACTTTGTTGTGCATGTCTGAACAACATCAGAGTCATTCATTATGTAAATATTGGAATGAAACTTTTAAATTTTAATTTATAACATTAGGTTTTCTCTCCGAGCAAAATAACGTTTCATAAAAAATTGCATTTTTAATAAAGATCTGTATTTTTTTGGTTACTATAACTTCAAGTTCACAAGTTTTGGGCAGCTCTTGATATAACTGTGTAATTTTTGAAACTCTGAAGTAATTTGCAAACTATCAAGTCCAGTGTTTGATTTGCAAAGAGGATGTGGCTGAAGTAATTGTGCATTTGCATTTTCTAACAGCTTCACAGGAAATATATGATGTGCTTTCTGTTACAAGGAATAATTTTTGATAGCTTCTATCATAAAAATCTTAGAAATCAAATCAGTTATTGAGAGTTCTATGCTGTCTATTTATTTCCAATCAGACAAAGAGGAATTTAATACTGAGAGAAAAGAAAAAGCCATTCGCACAGCATTTTGGATGGAACATTTTAACTATAATGCATCCCTAGAATGCAATTCCAGGGATGTATTGCAGTCATATGATCACAGAGTGATTAAAAATCCATAATGGAGTATTTCTTTCCCAGCTATACACATAAAAAGACCTCTTATCCTTACAATTTGACTTCCATCCACTCAAACAATTTTTTTCAGTAGGTACTGGTGTGGAAGGTAATGCATCTAAAAGAATGAACCCTATTTTCTGGTACAGGACAATTCATCATCCTAAAAGCTCTTTCATGATACCCCCTAAATTGAGATGGCAAGGCACACCCTGCTTATGATTTATCCTGAGAGCAATGTACATTTTTGAAATCAATGGTGAAAATGTCTGTAGGTGTGCACACATGCATGTGCACATGCATGCAGTGCTACTTCTGTTTCCCCTTTATTGAAGCAGTGAAGCACAAACAAGTTGAGAGTCAACAAAGTTAAAGCAGAGGAAATATTATTGAAGTTCTGCTCCTCTCTAATTTTGTACTTTTGTGTAGTGGCTCACTAAAGAAATAAAGAAATTTAGATATTCAGTTCTCACTTTGAGATTTTATTATTCTAAACCCTGGAAGAAAGAGGCTGCTTGCTCACTCCAACAGTGAATGAGATGCTGAAGCAATGTGCTTGAAATGTGGTATTGTGGTATGTTTTGTATATTGTGGTATGTTTTAAGAACACCAGGAGAAGAGCTGGAATGCTCAAGAGCTGATTTGATTTTTTTTCCTCAACAAGTTTCTTAGAGGAAACTTCCTGCCTCTGTAAATTTTGTCTAATTTCTATCTTTTGACCACTATCACTAAAAGGATACTATTATTAAAGATATTAAATAATATTATTGCAGCATGACTTGAGAATGAAAGCAAGTGCCAGTAATACTCCTGCGCTTGACATCATCATAATTTTTGTAATTTGTTCATGGATAACTTGATTATCTTTGTGGGTCCCTTCCAACTCAGAATATTCTGGGATTTTGAGGCTTTTCTTTCTTTGCACTCTCTACAATTGCAAACAATTGTTGTCTGTTAGATAAATACACATTAAATAAGGCATGCACATTAAATAAGGCACCTGTATCCTGAGAAAAAGCATCAAGTCTGTTTTACATTTGTTCCTTATTCTTAAAAAAAACATGAAAAAAATAACTGTATGAACAAACAAAAGAGACATAGATGCATGTCATTACAGGTAAAAAATAGTAGCATGACACAAGTTCACTTGTATGAACTGTGTAGGTCCATTAACGTAAATGTAGGTCCATTAACGTTCATTGGACTGTGCTGATAATTAAAGACTGACAGGCCCTTATCATTGTGGTAGAATTTCCTTTCCATTACCT